AGGGGGGGGGGCCAGCGCCGATCTAAGACATCCGCGCGGACCGTCGAAAGTGTATATTCATGCGTTTCTTCCTCGAGTTTCGGTACCTCCTGCGTGTCTTCCTGTTCCTCCTCCTCCTCCTCCTTCTCCTCCTCCTCCTCCTCCTCCTCCTCCTCCTCCTCCTCCTCCTCCTCCCCGTCCTTCTCCTCCTCCTCCTCCTCCTCCTTCTTGGCCTCCTCCTTCTTGGCCTCCTCCTCCTCCTCCTTCTCCTCCTTGTCCTCCTCCTCCTCCTCCTCCTTCTCCTCCTCCTCCTCCTCCTCGTCATCCTGGGTGCCTTCTCCTCCTCTGGCTTCTCCTCTGGGTACCTCCTCCCTCCTCCTCCTCCTCATCCTGGGCACCTCCTCCTCCTCATCATCCATATAACTTCCCCTTGTCGCATCCCGAAGCAATTCTTAGGGCGGGCCGGGCGTTTCGCCTGAGACTTCCTCATCATGTATGACCCTGAAGCTTAAACATTGGCAACAGTGTCACAGATGGAGTGCGGGTGGTTTTCAATATGTGGCTCTCGCCTTAGCGCCACATACCTTCGCTTTCAAACATTGCAAGAGTTTCACGGATTGAGGGCGGGTGGTTTCAATCGTGTAGATCTCGCCTTACCGCCGCGCACATTCTCTTCAAACAGTTGTAAGAGCTTCACGGGTTGAAAGCGGTTCCTTTTCAAACTGTGGCTCTCGCCTTGGCGCTGCGCACATTCGCTTTAGACAGCTGCAAGATCTCCATGGATTGAGAGCAGCTCCTTGCCAAAATGTGATTATCGCTTTAGCGCCGCGCACATTCTTCTTCAACATGTGCACGAGCGTCACGGATTAAGGGCGGGTCGTTTTCAAAATGTAGCTCTCGCCTTTCAGCCGCGCACATTCGCTTCAAACAGTTGCAAGAATTTCGCGGATTGAGGGCGGGTCCTTTTCAAAATGTGGCTCTCGCCTCAGCGCCGCGCACAATCGTGTCAAAGAGTTGCAAAGGTTTCACGGATTCCCATGGTCGACGTATCCTTGTCAGAGATGGTGTTTTGGAAGGATTCACGATTGTGAGGGCGCAGCAGTTACGATGATTCGCGGTGTTAGAGTCCCAAGAACGGCGTTCTGGCACGATTCAGGATCGTCAAGCCGCAACAGTCAGGTTTATCCGTGGCGTTGGAATGCTGAAAACAATGTGTTGGCATTCTTCAGGTTCTTCAAACGGTTGTTTTCCAACGAGGCACGTCCCTCTGTAGAAATGAACGGTTGTATGGGGCCTGTGCAGAGGGAGCTTGAGGGAAGGGCTTACTCCGACATCGTTGAGGACTCTTGTGTTTACACTAGTACTCCTCCTCCTCCTCCTCCTCCTCCTCCTTCCTCCTCCTCCTCCTCCTCCTCCTCGTGGGTACCTTCTCCTCCTCTGGCTCCCCCTCTGGCTCCTCCTCTGGCTCCTCCTCTGGGTACCTCCTCCCTCCCTCCTCACCTTCCCTCCTCCCCTCCTCCTCCTCCTCCTCTCCTCCTCTTCCTCCTCCTCCTCCTCCCCTCCTCTCCTCCTCCTCCTCCTCCTCCTCCTCCTCCTCCTCCTCCTCCTCCTCCTCCTCCTCCTCCTCCTCCTCCTCCTCTCCTCCTCCTCCTCCTCCTCCTCCTCCTACTACTACTACTACTACTACTACTACTCTACTACTACTACTACTACTACTACTACTACTACTATACTACTACTACTACTACTACTACTACTACTACTACTACTACTACTACTACTACTACTCTACTACTACTACTACTACTACTACTACTACTACTACTACTACTAACTACTACTACTACTACTACTACTACTACTACTACGACTACTACTACTACTACTACTACTACTGACTACTACTATACTACTACTACTACTACTACTACTACTACTACGACTACTACTACTACTACTAACTACTACTACTACTACACTACTACTACTACTACTACTACTACTACTAACTACTACTAACTACTACACTACTACTACTACTACTACTACTACTACTACTACTACTACTACTACTACTACTACTACTACTACTACTACTAGTACTAGTACTACTACACCTACACATCTTCTTCCTGCTCCTCCTCCGCCTCCTCCTCCTTCTTCTTCTCCTTTTCCTCCTCATCCTCCTCCTCCTGGCACCTTATTTTCCTGGCACCTCCTCCTCCCGTGACTCCTCCTCGTGGGCTCCTCCTCCTCCGGCAACGTGGCCTCGCTGCCCGCGCCGGCGTCCCCCGCGGCCGGCCGCGGCTGGCGGCCCGCCCCGCCGGCCGGCTGCGGCTTGCGGCCCGCCTCCAGTCAGACTCGAGCTTCTCCGAAGGGGCCCATGAAGACACAAATAGACGAGCACAAAATCCAGGATTCCCAATTCCAGGATTCCCAATCGATACGCCTCCTCCTGCTCTGCCTCCTCCTCCGCCTCCTCCTCCTCCTCTTCCTCCTCCTCCTCCTGTTGGGCGTTTCGGGGGTCTCTGGAGGGGGCTCTCTCGCCAGGACGGGGCCTACAGCGCGCTCATTAAGCAAAAAGCCCACGTCGAGGTCCCAACCTGCCCTGTTACGGAGACAGATTGGCGTGCCTGGCTTAATGACCAGGCCGACCAGGCCGCCAAGCTAGCCTGTAAGCTACACCCTATGTCGGGCCAGGTTGCGGCCAGCCTGGAAGACAAGCTTCTCAAGGTAAAGAAGTTTATGTATGCCGCCTCCCGTGTGCGCGAGTCGGGACCACCCCCTCGGGATGAATGGAAAGACCTCAAGAGGCCGCACATTGGCCGCACTCCAGCCTGTATGATCGCTCACGTGTTCGTCCAGGTCGGGCCCTCCAGGTGGCAGTGCAAGCGATGTTTGGGGTCGAAGGTGACTCCAGACAGCGCCCTGGACCGTAAGGACTGTAGGCAAAGCGACATCCCTGAGAGTTTTACGCGGGCGACGCAGGTTGCCCACACCCACGATATTGAATGGTGTGAGCTCACCCCTCGGCCCGAGGCCGGGGTCGGTGACACCCTCTTGTTCTGCAAGACATGCTGCCAGTATGCCACCTCGAAGCCTCTGGGGCTGGGTAAAGCTTGCCCCAGCTTGAGTGTGGTCGGCTGGCAGCGTAATGAAGCTGCCCAGCATAAGATGCGCCGTTCCCTTCAGGGTAAGCACCCCAAGTGCGGCCAGAGCGAGATGATAATCGCGCACTGGCCCCTCTTAGCTCAGGTCTACGGGGCATGTGCCCCCAAGCCATAGCCATTGGCTCGCTTGTCTTTGGCCCCTGTCTCAAGCCAGGAACTAGCTTAGCGCGAGAAAAACCTCCCTCCACCGCCCGCCTCATGTCCCGAGCCTGTGGCAGGGTCATCAGCTCGTCAGTATCGTTGTCGTCGTGGTCGTCGTCGCGGTGGTCGTCGTCGTCCTTCTGGGTCGGCGGCACTGGCCGCAAGGCCTTCACAATAGAAAAGCACACATTCCAGGATCCCCAATATTTGTGAATAATTTGTGAACTTTCATCTTCCCCTCTACTTCCCATATGTTCCCATGTGTTCCTGAAGACTTGGCATACTCCATCATGGACCCCTTGCTCCCCCTCGGTCTTGGGCCGTCATCGGCGGTGTTCGGGAGTGCTCGGCGGTATTCGGATGTCTTCTGACGGTCTTTGGTGGCTTCCTGCGGCTTTCGGCGCGAAAGCAGGATCAAGGGGGCAATGATCGAGCACCTAATCATTGACAAGCCGAAAGGCGAGGACAATCTCAGGGATGTGCCCTCAGAAGCTGGGGGGGGATCCTCAAGATCTGCATCTTGATGCCAATCTTCAGAAGCCCCCTAGATGGGGCCCGAGAAGATGGGGTCGGGGGATCGCGCCGCATCGCCGATGCATCGGCGATGCGGCTCGAGAGCCCGACTCTGTTCATTCCGACCTCGCCGATGCATCGGCCATGCAGCGCCGATGCGGCGCGATCCTTCGACCTCATCATCTACTCGGACCCCATCTGGCGTAGTTCGGAAACCCTGAGCCCAAAAAACGTTTTCATCTCTTGGGGGGCGCATTTCTCACTGCCGCCGCCCTCCGCCGAGCTTCTGCCGGCTTCCACCGGCGGAGGCGGCCTCGTTTTACTTCCGCCGCCTTCCGCCGCGGAGGAGATGACAACTCCTTCTGTCCTCGCAGGCAAGGCCCTGCTTGGCACGCCTCAACCTGTGAGGCCTACAGTCAGAAGGGTAGGGGTGTGCTTCAGGCTGGTAAGCCTTCGCTGCACCGCTCGGCTCCGCGTGGGCAGAGCTGCTGCAGCCCATCGCGGGCGGGCCCGGGTCCCGAAGCCCTGTGTGCGGGGGCGCGGGGCTTTGCGCCGCGCCCATGAGCAGGAGCGCGCCTCGAGAAGCTCGAGCCACAACAGCCACGGGCCCAGACCCCCCTCGTGTCGTGCACGACATGCGACGGGCGCTTTTTGCTGTTGCCATCTTCGGCCTCCGGGGGCCCTCGACGGGAATCGAGACTGCCGCAACAGAACCAACGCAGGAGGAGAAGCCGGTCACCGGGAGGGAGTCGAAGCCTGCCGGGCGAAGAGAACAATTATCGTGTTGGGAGGAAGGAGTCTGGAGGATGACGGGCATGAGCAATAGCATCCGGATGCAATGCACGATGCCTCAAACCGCCTACGGGTAATGATACCCTCCCTTCTCCCAGCCCCATCCCCCCAGCCCGACCCTTGTCTTCCTGACCGGAATCCGCGTTACGAAACAACTCGTGAGGTCAGGGGCCGATGGGGCCCGCTTGCCTCCGAGGGTGGGCCGGCCGTGCAGACTGCGCCCCGCGGACGGCGCGCCAGGCAGCGGCCGGCCCGCCCACCCACGCGCAGCCCGGGAGCGACGCGGCCAGGTGCCGCCCGCCTGGCCGAGGAGGGCGCGGAGCAGCGCGATGCGCTAGGAGGGGGGAGACTCCCCAAGCAGTGCTTGCACTGAAGGGGTCCTTCCGTGCACACCGAGTGGGGGGGGTCCTTCAGTGCGCTGAAGGGGGGGGGGGGGAGGGTCACTCGGCAACTGGACATCGAGCCGATAGCGATAGCGATAGCGATAGGGTCACTCGTCGCATCCCAGGGGCGCTCGCTCCACGACCGGCTGGCGGGGTCTCGCTCCGCGACGCGGGTGGCGCATCGTGCCGCGACTGGGGAGTGCGCGTCGGCGGGAGTGTCGCTCCGCGACTAGAGCTTCAGGAGCAACGGTGGGGGGGGATAGGGCACAGGGAGGGGAGCATCGACCCCCACTCGCCCCCGCGGAAGTCGAAAGATTTGGCGAAGGCTTTCCGCCAATTTCGGCGGCAGACTGGGTTCCCGGGTTCCCGGTTCCGGGTTCCCGGGTTCCCGGTTATTGGCTCCGGGCCGACTTCGGCGGGTTCTGGGTTCCTGGGTTCCCGGGCTCCCGGCGAAAACCATCCACTGATGGGGGGCTTCTCTCTGGTGTAATAGGATTAGGTCGGGCATGTCCTCCTACAGGCGGATTCTTGCCGAAAAGTGAGAAACAGCTCAAAACATCAAGACATGCTCATAAATGATCGAAACGGCCGTCCCCATACATATCTATATATATATATACATATGTAAATACATGCATGCATGCATACATACATACAACCATGCAATCATACATACATACATACATACATACATACATACATACATACATACATACATACATACAGACATACAGACATACAGACATACAGACATACAGACATACAGACATACAGACATACAGACATACATACATACATACATGCATACAAACATGCATATATACGTACATACATACATACATACATACATACATACATACATACATACATACATACATACATGCATGCATGCATGCATACATATATACATACATACATACATACATGCATGCATACATACATATAAACATACATGCATGCATGCATCATGCATGCATACATACATACATACGTACATGCATGCATACATACATACATACATGCATACATACATACATACATGCATGCATACATGCATACACACATACACACACATAGATATATACATATATATATACCTATGTATACATATATATATATATGACTCTCTTGGCCTGGTTTCGAATGGCCCTCTGGTAGCGGGACATGCCCGACTTCGTGATGGCGACCACCAGGGAGGGCTCTGGCCAGAGAGCCCCGGGAGTGGGCCCCAGCAGGCCACGGCCCGGCACCCCCGCGCCCGCGGCGCCGAGTGCCCCGCGGGGGGGGTGGGGGGGCGCCCGCCTCGAGGCACGGTTTCCCCCCGGGCCGTAGGCGACCCGAGGAGGAAGAGGAGGAGGAGGAGGAGGAGGAGGAGGAGGAGATGGAGGAGGAGATGGAGGAGGAGATGGAGGAGGAGGAGGAGGAGGAAGAGGGAAAGGATGTGGAGGAGGGGGAGGGGAAGGGGGAGGAGGAGATAGAGGAGGAGCGCTGTGTGCCGAGCCCGGCCCGCGGGCTCCCCCTCGGGGGCTGCGGGGCGGCGAGCCCGGGGCCTGTGCCTCCGGAGGCCGCCTGCGCGCCACGCTGGCTTCAGCAGCAGGAAGGGAAGGCAAGAAGTCCACCCCGAGAGTGACCACCCCGACAAGCGGGGCTGGTTAGTCGACGCACCCAAGGAAGGAATCGAACAGGGCCGGGCTCCGAGTAAACAACGCCCAGGGCCGCTTCGTGAACGCCCACTGTCCGGTCCCGGTGGGCTTTCTCCCCTTGAAGACAGGCGGGCCGATGCAGCACGGCATGTTTGCACGGTGAATCCCTCGCTGGAAGCGGTCTCACGAGGTTCGCGCACAGCTTTGCACTCCAAACGGCTTCACCGACAGAGAGAGGCACGTGATCAGGAGCGCACTGTCGCCTGAGACCCCCTCAAACATCAGAAGACAGCTCGCCGATGGTGCCCCACCGTCAGCACAAGCGGCGAGCAGAAATCGGGCGTAGCCCCGTAGAAACTGCCAGGGGTGTGTGAAACTGTTGCGCCATGTATGGGTTGCGAAATACATGATTGGCACCATGGGTTGCGACATGGGTTGCGCGATCACTCGGTTGCGCAATTTCGCCATCGGTTGCGCCATCCGTGGATTGCGCCACGGGATGCGCCACCGCTTCGGCGCCGCGCACATTCTCCTCACTACATGCACACACACACACACACACACTTTTACGTCTCGGCGCGGTACATGCGGTCCGCTCGCGCGAGGAGCAGCACTGGGCTACGGAATCGCGAGTTGGGCAGCATGCAAGAGTGGAGGAAAAGCACACACTCCCACTTTTTAAGTCGGCGGCTTCAGAAGAGCCTCAGAGACGCCGTCGGCAGGTGGAAGTGCCAGTTGCGAACGAACCTCGTCGAACGCGCCATGATGAAAGAGTCCAGCCGATGACGCACACACAAGCACACATTTCTTTTGTCGGCGGCGAGGCAGGAGGGCGGCACCAGCGATAAAACGGGGGCACCGAGTCGCGAATCGGCCAGCGTGCAGGAGAAGGGAAAGGACGGACGGACACACACACACAGACACACACAGACACACACAGACACACACACACACACACACAAACGGACACAGACACACACACACACACACACACACACACACACACACACACACACACACACACACACGCACAGACAACACACACAGACACAGACAGACACAGACACAGGCACAGACACAGACACAGACACAGACACAGACACAGACACAGACACAGACACACACACACACATACACACACACACACACACGCACAGACACAGACACAGACACAGGCACAGACACAGACACAGACACAGAAACAGACAAAGACACACACACACATACACATACACACACATACACACACACACACACACACACACACGGTCGTCTGATCTCCATGTGGCCATCGACGCGCATCTTAAGCACACCGGGCTGACGCCATTCGAGCCCTACCTGGGCGACTTCCGCAGGCAAGGCCATGGGGTGCTGAGCCTTCCAGCCTTTCTGGGTCCCACGCGGGCCTTTTCAAACTGTCTGGAGGGAGGCTATGGAGCGGACATCATGGTATTCCACGGAGCTGCCAGCTGTGTCGCAGATTTGTTCTGCGAGCGTGGCCCCGAACTCTGACCGAGGGGGAGCGAGCTACCACTGGGCAATCACTGGGTGGGCGTACTCGCGCAAAACGGGGCCCACGTGCTGGCGTCGTATGAAACGGCGCACCGGCCAGCCTGTAGCTGATGACGTTGGGTCTGAGATGATGGGCCGATGTTCCACCACCACTGCCATAGGTAGGAGAGGGACGAGGAGGAGGAGGAGGAGGAGGAGGAGGAGGAGGAGGAGGAGGAGGAGGAGGAGGAGGAAGGAGGACGAGCCTGTCTCCTCCCCGTCCTAGCCATGGTAGCGGTGGTGGGAAAGTTGGCCCAGCGTGAGAGGGAGCGAGACGGAGGGAGGAGGCCTGGTGTGCCCGAACACTGCGCGGTGACAGACCGTGCCGTGACCGACCGTGCGGCGACCGACCGTGCGGTGACCTCGGCAGCCCCCAGGGGACCTCACCGCGCCGCGCACGGTGCGTCGCCGCACCGTTGTTTGGAACCCCCCCCCCTGGAGGCACTCGCCCGAGGCGTCCTGTCGGAGGGCGGCCCAAGTCCCCAAACCGCGCGGTCACCCCGATGTCCCCACTTAGAGTCGGGTGTTGCTAGGAGTGCCCCGGGCCCAAGGTACCCCCAGGATTCTCGGCGTGGCCCAGGACGGCCCCCATGGCCCCCCCCCCCACAAGGCCCGGAGGGCCCCGGGGGCTGCAAGATGGAGCGAAAAGCTGGGAGCACCTTTTGGGCCAGGGGCACCTCCAGCAACACACGAAAAAAGAACCACACGGTGTGGTCACCGCACCATTCTTTTGGGGGGCCCCCGAGGGCTGCAGGAGGAGAGGGGGGGGAGAGGCGGGCTAGGCGCGCTGGCGCCTCACCTGACATGCCTTTCTCTATCCGCGGACGCGTGTCACAGCCGACCCGCAGCTCCAACGCAACGACCACACTGCGAGGTTCCCGGGGGGGGGCCCGAGACTGGGCGACCTCGCACGGCCCGGGCCAGCAACTCTGCGCTCAGGCCTCGGCGCCGCCGCTCGGCCCCCTCGGGGTGGGGCCCCAGCGCCGACCCGGCGAAGTCCGAACGGACCTTCGAGAGCTTCTGGTGGTCTCTTGGCCTCCCATGTGATCGTTCTCTTGTTCGGCGTCTCGACATTGCGCGACAGGGGGGGGGAGGGGGGGGCAGGGGGTCTGGCTCTGGACCTCGGCCTCCTGCGACTGCCAGCAGCAGTGCGCCTCCTGGGGGGAAAGCTCAACCTGCTCGAGACAGGCGCCCCCAAAAAAACAGCCAAGAGCTACTCCACGAGGGG